TTAATTTCCATAGTTGTGAATGTTTCAAAATTTTCCCTATTATTGGTTTCTAAATTTAATCTATTGTGGTTGGAGAACACATTTTACATTATTTCAATCCATTAAAATTTATTGAATCTTGTTTTATGACCTAACAGATGGTCTATCCTGAAGAATGTTCCATGTGCACTTGAACTCTGTTGTTGCTCTATTCCTTCCCTCCTCCCTTGTATTGTTATATTTGCTGTTGATGGGTGGAGTGCTCTATGGATGTCAGTTAGTGTTAGTTGGTTTATAGTGATGTTCTAGTCTTTGAGTTACTTGTTGATCTTATGTTTACTTGTTCTATCCATTACTGAAAGTGGGGTATGAAGTCTTCAACTATTATTATTGAATAATTCTTGTTTATTTCTTCCTTCAGTTCTGTCAGTTTTTGCTTCATGTGTTTTGGGACTGTGTTGTTAGGTGCATGTGTATTTATTGTGTCATATCTTCTTGACAGATTGATCCTTTTATCACTGTAAGATGTCTTTACCTCTAGCAAAAATTATCCTAAAATTTATTTTTTCTGGTATTATAGCCATTCCAGCTCTCTTTTGGTTACTGTGTGTATGGCATATCTTTTTCCACCTTTTAATTTATTTTTTTTTCCTTTGGCCAGTATGGGGATCCAAACCCTTGACCTTGGTGTTATCAGCACCATGCTCTCCTAGGTAAGCCACTGGCTAGCCCTGCCTTTTAATTTTAAACTTCTATGTGTTTTTGAATCTAAAATATGTCTCTTGTAGACAGCTTATAGTTGCATCTTTTAAAACAAATTTCATTCTGCCAGCCTGTATTCTTTATGTGAAGAGTTTAATCCATTTACATTTAATGTAATTACTGATAAGAAAAGACTTCTGACATTTTACTTTTTGTTTTTTATGTCATATCATTTTTCTCATTGTCTCCATTACTGCTTTCTTTTGTGTTAAATAGGTATTTTGTAGCCTACCATTTTGATTCCCTTCTCTCTTTTTTCCCCCTCTATATATTTTTAAGTTATTTTCTCAGTCATTTTCCCAGAGATTACAATTAACATCTTAATTAAAAACATTCTATTTTGGATTAATACTAATTTAATTTCAGTAGTATATAGCAACTTTGTTCCAATATACCTCTGTTCACTCTCTCTTCCTTTGTTCTGTTATTGTCATATAAATTACATTCTTACACAATGTGTGCCCATCAAAAGATTGATAGTTATTGATTTATGCAGTTTTCTTTTAAATTAGATAGGAGGAAAAGAGAGTTATAAACAAACAAAAACCCTTATATACTGTCATCTATATTTACCTATGTAGTTACCTTGATCAGTGTTTTTTATTTCTCCATGTGGACTTGAATTACTGGGTTCAGTCAATGGGAGGTGTGGCAGATGACTGGAAGGTAGAAAAGGAGAGAGGAAAGGGTATGTATTCTTCCCATCCCCTCCCTGTTTTGGCAGTTGCTGCAGTTTTATACCTATGGCTGTAGTTCCTGGGAAGACCCTCCCCCTGGCTATAGCCTTCTCTGGGTTCCAGTAACACTACTGCTTCTTGCTTCTTGAGGCTTAGGAGTGATAACAGCTTCCCATTTTTGCTAATCCTTAGGTGCTTCACCACCCCTGGTTTTCTTAACTCTGCCCACACTTCTTAAATAGTCTCTTTGTTAAACTCTCTTCTGTTATGCTGCAAGTAAGCGATTTCATGCCAAGACCTTGGCTGATTCAGCATGCTCCATGACCTCCCACTAAGGTCAAGTTCTCATAATTTCACATGCAGTTCTCCTTTGTGGACCTTACCACAATCCGAACTATACACTCCTTTTAATGGTCATTTGATTAATGTCTGTTTACCCAACTAGACTTAAGTGCTGTGAGGGCAGAGAGTGTGTGTTTTGGCTGATCTTTGCACAATCTTTTAATTCCTAACAGAGTGATTGGCATATAGTAGGCACTTAATACTCATACATTTTTATTGAATAAATGGCTAATATTTTTGTCTTATCTATTTCATGAAATCCTTCTGAGAGGCTGGGGGACAACAGGTACAAAGGACTTTTTACAAATGGAATCTCCCCACATGTACAAAATGAAAAGGTGGTATTGTGTGAGGCTAACATGGGAGAGGGGATACTGAAAACCTGAACTGTGTCACTCACCACTATGTTACTTTGGGTCAGGGTTTTCTCTGGGCCTGTTTTATCTGAAAAATTAAGAATTTGAAACAGTATTCTGAGGCACCAACGACCTTTAAGAAGACCTCTCATTCTATGGCTCAAACCTGCCACCTGGGCCAGATTTCCTTTCTTGTATTCAGTCTTCTCCAAGCCCTGGTCCATGGCGCCCTCTGGTGGGCCCTGAGTGATAGCACCGGGGGCAGCCTCTGCTCGTGGTCACTTGTAGCCCTCCACTAAGACTCAACCATAGGACCATAGGAGCTGGAAGCATCATCCAAAAACTTGTCATTTTACTGTGGAAAACTGAGGCCTAGCTAGGGGAAGGATTTGCAGAAGGTCTCACTGAGTTTTTCACACAGCTGGGTCAGCCAGTGCTTTCATGGTATTAGACAAACCTAATACCCAACAGCATCAAAATGTTTTGGTGAGTACTTGTGGCTGATGGGTGAGCATCAGAAATGATTTCATATTGTCACTGCTCTCCTGAAATCTTCCACTCCTGGGTGTAGTTTCTAAGACCCTCTGTGGGCTGCCCTGCCTAACTCTTTGAGCTCACCTCCTTCTGTGCCTCCAGCACAGGAACTCCTTCCTACCTCAGGGCCTTTGCACTGGCTATTCCATCTGCCCGGAACTCTCTTCCCTCAATTGCCTCTTGGTTCACACTCCTTCATGTCTTTTAGCTCTGACAGAGAGGCATTCCTGACCATTCTAGCTAATGTTCCCAATCTATAAATATCAGTTTTATATCCTTCATGGCCCTATTTGCATCTGAAATCATATTAGTTAGTTATTTTAGATCTGCCTTCCCCTCCAGAACGATGGCTGCGGGGAATTTGTTCACTGTACTGGGTACTGAGTGGGTGCTCAATAAATAGTGAGGAATCATGGAAGGGAGAATGGCACAAGACAAGAAATAAGCCAGAGACCACTTTAGAGAAAGTCTGGAGGTTTACTCAACAACAGTCACAATCACAATTATACATGTTAAGTCAGTTCTTCACAAAGGCTCACTTTTCCAGGCAGAAGAGAGGTTGGTGGTCTTGAGATTTCTCTATGGAATCCCAGTCTGACTTCCCAAATATTCCCTGCCTGCAACCCCTTTGGGATCCATATTTCAAGCCAGTAACAGAGCAAGACCCTAATCCTGTTGTCTGGCACAGCTGAATCAAAGCCATTTTGGAAGCAAATATTAAGATGACCTTGTCACTTGGTATGTAGTTACAACTCCCACCCAGAGGTGGCAGCGGGCCTTGGCTTAAGATCGAGTTTGAACTCAATTACTTGGATTTTTCACAAAGAGCATCAGTTGAAAACAATAAAGAATTCCAGAACAGAACTGCTCTCCTTCCTCCTTTCCCACACTTATAAATCTTCAGAAAACATTACAAATGCATTGCCTCCTCAGAATTATAAAAGATCACCCAATCTGTACAAACAAGGGATTGATCAGTAAAGCAAGAAATCCAGACTCCTCAGTTATTATTGTAAAGTGCTTTGCCACTCTTTTGAGACTCCAGATTCTAGAAGAATGGAGGTGCACAGAAAGAAATATGGAGCCACTTTTGAGGACATTACCGATTTCTTAAGAAGGAAAAGAAATTCAACAGGTAGGATGTGTGAAAAGTGAATGTAATGTGGACTTTGCAAATCCACATGCTACATTTTCCCAAAAAACTGCTCTGGGCCTACTGTCACACCTCCCTGTCAGATCTCTTCTGCGGATGTTACCCCGCTTTCCTCTGGGCTGTTTCTTCCTAAAGGGAAGAATGGACAGTTCCTGGTCTATTTTCAAAGTTGAAAGTTCCGATTGGAACTACAGGATGGAATGGCTTTTCACACATGTGCCTGCAAATTCAGCCACCTCTAAAGCCTGTACTTACAGCAAAGATGCTCTTTGCATTCTGAAATGTTTCTGGAGTCCGCCTTTGGAAAGAGAGCTGGTGGGGCACATGGTCGTGACAATTTCTAGCAACACCTTGTGTTGTGACATCATCCTCAGAATTTCCTTTAGAGGTAAAGGGGCCCACATTCTCACCCATTATCTGGCTGAGTTCTATTGCGTATCAGCTGGGAATGGGAGCAAACCCTGAATCCTTGAGACAGGTGGTTTTCAAAAAAGAGGCCGAAACAATGAGTTGCTTATTACAAGTATTTGCAATCAGTCAGTTGGTAGATAAAATTGAACCAACAACATTCTGTCCCTCCTTCCCTTATTACACTGTTGAGCCCCAGGACGAACTAGTGTGGGCTCAGCAATTACGAATGCCAGAGAGCTCGGGGGACATGCCTACCTGCTTGGGGTATGAAATCAGACTGGAAAGGAGAAACAAAGTATGGGAAAGAGAAAGGCTGAGGACGGCTTGTTGGCTCCTTCTTCCCCAAGAAGCTTGGTCTTGTGGAGAACACAGCTGCCCACTTGGAGTGAAGCCATTTGGAAATCTAGTCAGTGCTCTACAATCCTTCATCCCAATGGCAAGGGACAGGACAAGCACTCTGTTTGGGGGTTGGGATGGGGGCCTAATGAGGTAATGCAAGGCCTTCTCTCAGGGGGTGCTGAAACCCTTCTAGACCATGGACTAAGTGAGTTGCCCAGCTGCCCTTTTAATTTAGAGTGTTACTTGTGCGGACTAGAACAACTCTGGTCTTTGGCTCTTGGGGAGCATCTCAGTCTCAGATCTTGCTCTAGGCCCAACATCTCCTGCTTGAAATGAGACATTAAGAAACACACATTCGTCCGATAGGAACTGCACATGCCACCAAGAATGTTCCCCTCCCCCCAACCCTGCCCCTTTATGTCTGTCTAGCAAGGCACTAGGAAATGGTTCAAGTTTAGGGATTTGCTATACATTTGCATTTTCTTTTTTAAAAGGCACAGTTTTTATTTTAATGATGCTGCATTGCTCTCTGCTGATGAATCTTAATTCAGCTCCCCAAACTGCAATGCTTGTTACCCAAGATTCTAGAAGGGGCCTCATCTTTTGACTTCTATAGAGGTCCACTTCTAAAGAGGTATAGCACTCATTTGGAAGGGGACCCTAGGGATCAACCAGCAGGCTTTGCAAGCACAGGGGCCGCCTCTTCTGTGGACAGGGGGCCAGAGCAGGGCTTGTGCTGGGCAGAAGTGGAAGTGATCCTTTGCCAGCTACACGCTCAATCTGGGTGGTGGTGGCTTGGAGTGTTTATCCTTTCCTCCCCCAGATAATCGAAGGCCTTGATCAGCCAGCATCTCAAAGGCAGATTTGTGGCTCTGTTCCCAGATTTATGTCTCAGTTATTTAATTGGGAAATGACACAATTGAGAAACACAACTCTAATTGGAATACTGATTGCAAGTATTTCCTAGGCTAGCTGGTGGAAGCCATAGATTGTGGAATGTGATTTCCATTTCTGAATCAGTGAGTAGCAGGTTGGTTAAAGAAATGCTTTCTATTAGTTTGGAAGCCCTCTGGTGAAAATCTGACATATAATTAACAAAGCAAAAGGTAAACATGAAAGGCTGGCATGGAGCTGGGTGTCCATCTGGTAGTGAGATATTGGCTTTGTCTCTCCACTGCAAATGAGTCTATAGCTGTGATGATGGTGGGAGGTTCCAGGGCTCCAGGTCTTCCTGAAGATCACGTTGTACCAAAGCCTCTGGTAAGAGCTGATGGACACAGGTCCCCCTGCTCCCTCCGTCCAACACCACCAACTTTAGATTTCACAGATTGTTTCTGAGCTGGGGCTACCTTCACTATATTATACCTGGCTGGCTGCTTGAATCACAGCATTCTAGAAATCCACAATGGATGCTAAAAAACCAGAATCACATGTAGCATTCTAGTTTTGTAATCAAATTATAGAGTTCTTTAAAAATTCTAGAGTTTCATATGAGAACTAGAACCATCGTGAGGTCAGAGGCTAGGCACCGTGCCCACGGTTGATCCTGGAGGCTCCAGACTGTGAGGTGAGCACCTTGCAGCACCTCAGCTCCTCTCCTGAGGCAGGTAATTGCCCGGGAAAGAGAGAAAGGGAAGTAGAAGCATGGATTAGGGAAATTCAGCCAGCATTTCTAGTTTGGAGGTCTTCTACTTGTCCTTTTTCATGGGCCCAAGGCAATCTGAACCAAGCCCTGAAAAGCTGGTGGCTGGGCTTCCCTGGTGGCTGCAGAGCACTAAAATGAGCATTTCAAATATCCAGAGAGCAGGGTAGACATCCCACATACCCTTGGCTGCAAAGGAATGTCTGGGGTCCCTCTTCTGACCCATGCCTGGCAGCTGGCCAGCATTCAGTACTAAACCCTCTGAGAGCCCCAGGTATGGCCTTTGACTACATCACCTGAGGCTGTGACAGAGAACAGAAGCTGGGCATGTAACTTCAGTCACAGGCAGAAACTAAAAGGTTCCTAGAAGGGCTTTCCCTTCTGCTGCAGATGGGTGGCATTGGTGCTAACAGCCGCCCCAGACAGACAAACGTTGCCTCTCTTTCTAAAGCACCGTCACATATGAGAGCCACATGCGGTCTGGGCAACCTTGCAGGACTCATTTTTGGGTGGCCTAGGGCTGCCCTGGTATTCTCTTGCACAGTGCCCAAGGGGACATGGAGACAAAGTTAAAAAGGCCCCCCTGCTTTTCCACGATGCCAGCAGGGATTAGAGCAGGCTCTGCTCTCTTATGGGGTCTCTAGTGGGGCATGCTCTCCACCCCACCCCATGACTCAGGGGCTCAAGGACCAGGCAGATCTCTTGCTCCAGTTTCAAGAGCCCTCTTCACCTGGAACTGTTTGGACAGCACCTTTTACACCATGGTGCCCACAGAGGCACTGCCTCCCTCAGGAGAGGAAGCCTGCAGTGAGTGCCAGAGGGTACCCCGCTGGGCCTGCCAAGGGGACATGAAGGCTCAGTTTCTATTGAAATTTTCCAAGACTGTTGAGTTGGTGTGTTCAAACAGCCACTGCTGGGTGGGAGAGGAGGGGTTGCAGGTGTTCATGAAGATCCTGTGGTCACTTTCGCTGCAGTCCATGCAACTGCCGCTGACAGGGTGGTACAGGGTCTTGTCCTACAAAACAGGGAGGTTATCAGCCAGGCAGCACCAGGGACATGAACAGTCACACTGCAGCAACAATAATAGCAAGGAGGAAGCAACTGACTAGCTGCTCACTGACCTAGTGGTTTTCCTCCTGAGCACACACCAGATGCTGCCCAGCTTCCCTTGCAGTGGGCGTTGCCATGTGGCTGAGTTCTGCCTGCTGGGAATGTGGGCAGAGGTGATGGAGGCCACTTCCAGGCCTGGGCCCTAAACACGGCCCACCTGCAGTCAAATTTCATTGGTTCTCATGGTGTGTTTTTTTTTTTTTTTTTTTTTCTTTTGAATGGACTCGGTTGCCAACATTTACAATTTGATGATTTCACATAAAGGTCTGAATTTCTAGTTTCTCTTGAATGACTGGAAAATCGGGCATGGTAGATTTGTGGAACAAATGAATGAATGGGTGGGCTCTGTTTTGAGAGGGAGTGAGGTACTACATAATTCTTTTCCAGAAAGATCATTATGTTTAACTCTAGTGGCTCAGAGTATAAAACCTGTTGGGAACCACATATCATTCTACTTGTAGAATGGAGGTCTATGGAGATAGAGAATTAAACTGGCATGTAGAGAGAAGCAGAAATGAAAGATGGAGAATGATTTGTTTTTTTTTTAAATTTTTTTTTCTTCCTTTTTTGTCTTTTTTCGTGACCGGCAACGGATCGCCACCCTCAGTGTCGCGCCCGTACCGGACCGGGACCGGCCACGGGATCGCAACCCTCGGTGTTGCACCCGCACCTCGCTCAGCCAGTGAGTGGGAACCGGTCTGCATGTGGGATCCGAACCCTCGGCGGGAGCGCCACTGCGCTTCCCAAGCGGCGCACTATAGCAGTGCGCCACCGGGCCAGCCCCATAATTCTTTTTTTTTAAAGACCAAGCAGGTCGCCCCCTTCCCAGCCCCCCATCTCATCTTACTTTGCGGTATTTCCACAGCTGGTTGCCTTTCATGCTGTGGCAGTCATAGAGGGTGACTGGGCTGGTGTGGGAGATGGCATCAAAGCAGAACTTCTTGGTGTGCTGGGGGTCTCCAGGCCGGATGTCCTCCCTCCAGGTAAAGGTGAATACCTGCACACACAGACATCATGATAGAGACAGCAAGCAAGGGGACTTTCTTTTTCTTTTTCCCTCCATTTTTTCAAAATTATGAAACTTTTAAACACAGAGGTCCAGAAAAGAGTATATTGACCATGTCTCCTGTTCTAAATCACCCAACTTCAAAAGTTACCAATTCATGGTCAATCTTGTTACAGCTCTACCCCACCAATATCCCTACCCCCACAGTATTTTGAAGCAAATGCCAGATATTGTATCATGTCAGGTATAGATACTTCATTAAGTACCATTCTAACAATTAAAAGTTATCGCAAAGTCCTCAGTGTCATCAAATATTGAGTCCAAGCATTCTTGGATTGCCTTAGCAATTTCTTTTCACAGTTAGTATATTTGAATCAGGATCCAAACTGGGTCCATATATTACATTTGGTTGATAAGCATTTTTAAAAAAATTTCCAGCATTTTTATTGAAGAATAATTGGTGTACGATACACTGCACACATTTAAGGTATACAATTTGATACATTTTGACATATGTTTACACCCACAAAACGATCATCACAATCAAGCTAATCAACATATCCATCACCCCCAGAAGTGTCCTCAAGCTACTTCGTAATCCCTTCTTCCTGCTGCCCCCTCATACCTCAGGAACCACTGATCTGCTTTCTGTTACTAGAGATCAGTTGCAATTTCTATGACTTGACGTAAAATGATCATTTACATTTATGTAAAATGTATTCTCTTTTGTCTGATTTCTTTCTCTCAATATAATTTTGCTGAGAATCATCCATGTTATAACAGCAGTTATCAGTAGTTCATTCCTTGTTATTGCCAAGCAGTATTTCATTGCAGGGTACTCCATGTACCTGTTCTTGGACATTTGGGTTATTTCCAGTTTCCACGTATTACAAATAAAGAGACTGGGAACATTTGTGTACAAGTATTTGTATGGATATATGTTTTCTTTTCTCTTGGATAAATACCTAGGAGTGGAATGGCTCATAAAATAGATCAATGCCTAACTTCCTAACTGCCAAACTGCTTTCCAAAGTGCCTGTGCTATTTACATTCCCACCAGCAGTGTATAGTTCCAGTTCACCCACATCCTTGCTGACCTTTGATACAGTCAGTCTAACAGGTGTGTGGTGGTATCTTATTGCAACTGTAATTTCCATTTCTCTAATAACTAATGAAGTTAAAAATTTTTAATATGTTTATTTGCCATTGATATGCCTTCTTTGGTAAAGTGTACAAAACTTCTGCCCATTTTATTTTTTGTTTGTTTGTTTGGCAGTTGGCCTGTATGGGGATCTGAACACTTGACCTTGAGTTTTGAGAGTTTTTATATATTATGTGCCTAATTCCTCTGTCAGATATATCCTTTACAAACATTTTCTCTCAGCCTGTGGTTTGCCTTTCTGTTTTCTTTCTTTTTTTTTTTTTTAAAGATGACCGGTAAGGGGATCTCAACCCTTGGCTTGGTGTTGTCAGCACCACGCTCTCCCAAGTGAGCCAACTGGCCATCCCTATATAGGATCCAAACCCGTGGCCTTGGTGTTATCAGCACCGCACTCTCCCGAGTGAGCCACGGGCCGGCCTTCTGTTTTCTTAAAAGTCTCTCTCTTTTTTTTTTTTTTCTTGGGAGCTGGGGGCTGCTGCAGTGGCAGGTCCTGGGTAGTGGGTGCCAGGGCCTGCTGGTAGCTGGGGCTCCCCACCTGGGCAGCTGTGCTGCACGTACTCCTTGAAGGGAAGGAACTTGGGTTCAATGAAGTTGGGAGTTTATCAAAAACGAGCTCATGGTTATTAATTTGTGAAGTGCAAAAATCAAAAATGTCTTTTAAGGGCTGGCCCGGTGGCGCACTCGGTTGAGTGCGGCACTTGGGAGTGCGGCTGCGCTCCCACCGAGGGTTCGGATCCCATATAGAGACCGGTCTGCTCACTGGCTGAGCGCGGTGCGGGTGCGACACCGAGGGTTGCGATCCCGATGCCGGTCGTGGTACGGGCGTGACACTGAGGGTTGCAATCCCGTTACCGGTCACGAAAAAAGACAAAAAGGAAAAAAAAAATGTCTTTTAAAGAACAGAAGTTTTTCATTTTGAAGAAGTCCAATTTATCATTTTTTTCTTTTATGGATTGGATTTTTGGTGTTATATCTAAGAAATCACTGCTTAACTCAAAGTCACAAACACCTCTGCCTGTTTCTTCTAAAAACCTTTTAAGTTTTAGATTTTATGTTTAGGTCTATGATCCATTTTGAGTTAACTTTTGTATATCGCATAAAGTATGTGTCAAAAAAAAATTTTTTTTTTGCATATGGATGGATATCCAATTGCTCCAACACCATTTGCTGAAAAGACTATCTTTTCTCCCTGAACTGCCTTTATACCTTGTCAAAAATCAGTTATCCTTATATGTGTGGGTCTATTTCTGGACTTTAATCTGTTCCATTATCTATCTTTATGTCAATACTACACTGTCTTGATGATTGTTTTCATAACATATCTTGAAATCAGGAAGTGTAAGTCCCTAAACCCTGTATTTCTTTTTGAAAGTTGTTTTGACTATTCTAGGTCCTGTGCATTTCCATATAAATTTTAGAATCAGTTTTTCAATTTCTACAGAAAAAGATTGCTAGGATATTAGAATTGTGTTGAATTTATATATTGGGTTGGAAAGAATTAATATCAATATTGATATTAATTCTTCCAACCTATGAACATGGTTTATATCTTCATTTATTTAGATCTTCTTTAATGTCTATCGGCAATGTTCTGTAGTTTTTGGTGTATAGGACTTTCACATCTTTTGTTAGTTACATATCTGAGGATTTCATATTTTTTGTTATTGTAAATGCTTGTTTTTAATTTGATTCTTCATTAGTGTATATAAATACAATTGATTTTTATATCTTGCAACTTTGCTAAATTCAGTTATTAGTTCCAGTAGCTTCTCTATAGATCCAATTGAATTTTCCACATTGATGCTCATCTAGTCTACAGATAAAGACAGTTTTCCATCTTCTTTTCCCATCTGGATGACTTTTTTTTTCTTCTTGTCTTGTTGAATAGGGTAGAACCTCCAGTACAGTGACAAATAGAAATGAGGAGAGCTAACGTTACTGTCTTGTTCCTGATCTTAGGGAGAAAGCTCTCAGACTTTCACCATTAAGCTTGATGTTAGCTATAGGTTTTTCATAGATGCCCTTTATCAGGATGAGAAAGTTCCCTTCTATTCCTCGTTTGCCAGAAATGGATGCTGGATTATGTCAAATGCTTTATCTGGGTGTATTGAGGTGATGATCTGTGTTTTCATTTTCAGTCTGTTAATGTGGTAAATCATATTAATTTCCTAATGTTAAACCAACCATGCATTCATGGGACAAATTACACTTAGTCATGATATACTATCCCTCTTATATACAGTTTAATATGGTTTTCTAAAATTTCGTTAAAATTTTTTTTTGTCTGTGTTCATGAGATGTTGGTCTGTGGTTGGTCATATAATGTCTTAGACTGGTTTGGGTATTAAGGTAATGCTGGCCTTGCAGAATGAGTTGGTAAGTAATCCTTCATTTTATGGAAGCGTTCTTGTAGAACTGGTAACAACTCTTCTTGAGATGTTTGGTAGAATTCACCAGTAAAGCTCTCTGGGCCTGGATTTTTCCTTATGGGAAGGTTTTCAAATACAATGTCAATTTCTTTAATAGAATCACTGGTGTTTTCCATTAGGGCTAGTGAGAACAGGTATTATTCCAGGCCCTGCATCAACGCCAGGCACCATTCCCTCTAATCCTCCTGGGTGGTTCTTTCTCCAGCCCCAGGAAGTTTCCTCACATGCATCCACTCATCAGTACTCTGCTGAGTATTCAAGGGAACCCTTAGTAAATCTTGGGAGTTCTCTCTGTTTAGTGCACTCTCCCATATTCTGCTAAGCGAATTCTAGCCACCTTGGTCTCCTGCAGTCTCAGTGCTGAGTATTCAAGGGAACCCTTAGTAAATCTTGGGAGTTCTCTCTGTTTAGTGCACTCTCCTATATTCTGCTAAGCGAATTCTAGCCACCTTGGTCTCCTGCAGTCTCAGCTCTGTCTCCTCAACTCAGGGACTCTGCCTGGCTCTATCTGGGTTCTCCCTCCCTGTCCTGTGAACTGGAAACTCCCTCAAGGAAGGGAGCTGGGACAATTACTTGGCTCACCTTGTTGGTTTCCCATCTCTCAAGGATTACTATCCTTCATTGGCTAATGTCCAGCCTCTTAAAAACCATTGTTTCACATATGTGTCCATTTTGGGGTTGTTTCTGGTAGGAGGATAAGCACAGTCCCTGTTACTTCATCTTGGCCAGAAGCAGATGTCATGGTGGTAGTGGAGGGAGACTGTCAGCCACTACCTCGTAAACGTTAATTTCCAGGCCTTCTCCAGTGTAGGACGTGCCTTTTAGACTCATTTCTCCCTTCGCAGGCTCACTAGGGCTCTCTGCTCAGGGTGGTTGATGGCCCCAGGGGACACAGATTCCACTGGGGTCACTGGGCTGCCATGCTTCCCATCTCAGAAGGCAGAGATTGGAACAGCCACATACCCAGGCACTGTTTTGTGCTCGTTTGAGTGGACTCTGCCACATCTTGACTCTGTTCTGAGGCCAAGCTCCCTGGGCACATTCTCTCCAGGTCTCATGCTCTTTCTGGCCTCTTTTGGAGTCTTAGGGTGGGGTGGGTGTGGGGAGCAGCCACCCACTACAGTGGAGAACTCAGAAGAATTAGTCAGGGACAGCCACTGTCTAGGAAGAATTGCTGTCATGAAAGCATGATGCAGAATGAACAGCATTCTGAAGGACGGTCAGATGCCATTGGGCTGGGCATTGTACCCATCTGAGAGGCGTGCTGCCTGTTGCAAGGGTGTGTGTGTGCACCCCTTTCTTCTGAGTCCTGTTTATGTGGAGGACTCGCGTTAGTAGGCTTACATCAGAATGAACTTCCCATATGCCAGGAAATCCACAGTAAAAAGATTATAAAAATG